ACCATTATTGGTTTAGTGCTTAGAACAACATACTTGTACGTCTTATCGCTCTGGAGACTGCAGCTGTTATGGGCCATTGAGCTGAATGTGACTCACGGTGATCCTACGAACAACAGATCGGAACCTCTCACTGTACTGCTTCCCTCCCTGGAAGCGTAGTCCACAGGGAGTTGTGATACCAATCCAAATGTGGTGCCTCTCCGGTGGTTTGACTCCCAGGTCAGGTAGGAGTTGGTTCCAACTCGACAGCAAGGAGTTGAAGTTTCTGAGTTCTAGAGACTGTAGTTGTTGCTGTTGTTAGATGATGTCAGGTTGACTAGAACTCACAGTGACCATTTAAACAAAGATCTGACACTTGCCCCATCCTGTGCCATCTTTATGATCTCTGACACACTCGATCTGAATCTCTGGAGAATAAACAATTGAGGAGTTGGCAGGATCGAGTTCTTTCTGGAAGTTTCTGGAAGAGGGGAAGCTGCTTTCTCCTCTGCTCTCGCACCTACAGACACCCACATTCCTGGGCTTGAGTCTCATGTCTTATCCAGACTCCAGCATCTTCCAATCTCCCTCTCTCATGCTGGCCTTCCTGTCTCCCTTATATATGACATGGATCCCAAAGATAACACTGGGCCCACTCAGGTAATCTGGGGTTCATTCCCAATCACAAGAGCCTCAGGGCTGCCACGTATTCAAAACGTCCAGGGATTTACGTTCTACACCTGTCAAATGTGCTCCTTCCTACTTTCCCCTCCCTCACCCTCTGGACCCTCTCCCTTCTCATGGGCAAAATCTCCATCTAAACATCCATCTCAAGAAACAAAGATATATCCTGGTCCCACTTATCTATCTATCTCCACTCCACAGTCCTCCCATAGAAAGCCTCTCTCCCGATGTCTTTTACTTTTTGTGCTGTGGTAGACACAGATACACACATAACAGCACACTTGACAAGTCAACACTTGTTACATGTACATGTGAGTGGCACAGATTATGTTCTCTGAACACACCACCATCACCACTTAGCTCAAATTCTCCCATCACCGTTAACTTAGTGCCCACAACTTTCTGAAGGATTATCAAATCTCACTTTAAAAGATTAACAAATTCTCTTGACCCCACATCTTCCTCCTGCCAAACTTCTCAGAAGTGACCCCCCCATTCATTGGTCCCATTCATTCTAATAAGGTCCCCACCCCAACATTCTTCTGAGGGCTCCTCAATTTCAGAGCTGTTAACATTCAAATTGGGGTGATAATTTATTGTGGGAGCCTGTCCTGAGTACGGCAGGGTGTTTAACAACATCCCTGGCCTTGACCCTCTTGATATTGTTAGCATCCATTTTTCAGACACTACTGTGACAACCAGAATGTCTCCAGACATTGTCAAACGGCCCTGAGGGAGCAAATGCTTTCCCAGCTGAGAACCACGGCTTCAGAGGAACACCTGGAGCTCGTGCTCGAGTTGTCAAGGACCAGGCTGGCGGTAAAGCCGATGGACACTTGACAGAGCTGCTCTTACTCAGCTTCACAGCACAATCTGACTCTATTCCTCTCCCTCTGCTTCAAGAGCCCGGCACGCACGTGGGGTCCTCCTGCCTCTCAGGTCTCTTTTTGCAGGATTGCGCTTCCCATTGTGGACCATTAACTGTTGAAGCTCCTAAAAGCTTGATCCTACACCCATTCTCCTAGGTGCTCCCCTCCAGAACCCTGATTCACATGAACATCTATGCAGAGATGACTCACAAAGTGACATCTTTAAGCCTCTTTTCCAGGCTCCAAACCCACACACTCAACTGCTTACTGTATGTACTACTTGGATATCCTGAGGCCCATCATTTAAACTCAACGAGTTCAAAATCAAAATCACAGTCTTTTTCTCAATCCACCTCCTGTCCCATATTTCCATTGCTTAGAGGAAGCCTCCGTTACTTGCCTGTCATGTGGTAGAGCGACAAGAGTTGTTCTAGGCACTCCTTGATTCAGTCATTCCCAAATCAGGGCTCCTTCACCCCTGAACCCGTTCACAGACTAGTTCACCCCGGGCCCAGTCTAGACCAAACCTCTACCACCATCTACTTAGAGAACCACCACAAAAACATCCAAGTCAACTGGCGTCAGTCCATCCCACCTCATAGAGACCCTGCAGCCTAGGGCAGAAGTGCCTCCTCACAATGGCTCCAAGGCAGCACTCCTCACAGAAGCAGACTGACTGCATGTCCTTCCCGGGTGGAGCAGCTAAAGAAAAGCTACAAGCTCGCTGCTGTCCATTCAGAACCACCTCACAGCTGGCTTCCTCTGGGGGTTGCAAGCATATCAACTGGATGGGAGGAGACTGTCTATTTTCCTCCTGTGGAGCGCCTGGTGGATTTGAACCACCAGAGAGGGGACTCCTTTAGTTCAATGGTGCCAATGTCTTGTGGACGACATCACCAGGCTGGTGGGTTTAAAATCACCAACTTTTCAGTTAGTATCCAAGAACTTTAACCTCTATCCCACCAGAACCTCCAGAGAACACAGCACCCTAGCTGGGCTGTAAGGCACAAGCATCCATTCTTGACATCCACCGATGAGTTCTCCAGGCTGCATGCAGCCAAAGCGACTCTTTCAAACCATAAACATGATTGGGACAGCGGCCTGATCCACCCCCACCTCCCCATCCGCCTCATTTCTTCCTTTGCCTCTCACACTGGTTGCTACTTCAACCCTGGACTCCTTTCAGGTTCTCAGGCGGGACCTCTTCTGTCTGCACAGACCATCACCCATCTTCTTCTCAAGGTCACAAGCAGCTCTGGCGGCACAATTAATTACATACTGAGCTTCTGACTTAAAGATACAATGTTTAAATCCATCAAACACTTGGCAGGAGAAAGATGAGTGGTCTCCTCTTGTCAAGATTTACAGTCTCAGAAACTCCATGGGGGGGCTGTCAAGATTCAGATTCATCTTGACAGCAGTAGGCTGGAAAGCAACCACATGCTGCAGAAAATAAAAGACTTCGGCCTTCAATGTGGGTTACATCTCAACATCAAGAAAACAAAAATTCTCATCCCTGGACCAATATGCAATATTACGTTAGTAGGAGAAAAGGTAGAAGCTGTCCATGATTTCAGCAGTCAAGAAATTAAAGGATGTTAAAAAAAAAAGAAATTAAAGGATGTGTTGAATTAGGGAAATATGCTGTCAAGGACCTCTCCAAAGTTCTAAAGAGCAAGGGTGTCAGTTTAAAGACTAGGGTGCACCTGATTCCAGCCATGGTATTTTCAATGGCTTCTTATGCATCTGAAAGTTGGACAATGGTTAAGGAAGGATGGAAGATGAAGAATCGATGCCTTTGAATTTTGGTGTTGGAGGAGAACTGAATATCTCACAGGCTGTCAAAGGAGCAAATAAAACCTGTCTTGGGGGAAGTGTCTCCAAGGTGCTCCTCAGAGGCAAGGATGGTGAACCTCCACCTCAGGTACCTCACGTATGTTGTTAGGAGCAACTAGTCCTTAGTAACGGACATCATGTCTGGAAAGGCGGGGAATCAATGAAAGAAATCAATAAGCTAGGTTGACACACAGACTGCAACAGTGGCATCAAGTATATAGGAGATGATAAGGATGGCACAGAACAGCAAAGTTCAGAACCGTGGTTCAGAGAGTTACTATGAGTTGTCGCTGACTCAATGGCACCTAACAACAACAACAACAACAACAACAACAGGAGGGGAGCGCTGGTGGTGTAACCCCAAGGGAGTTGTGCTGCTAACCCCACAGCAGCAGCAATCCTGCAGTTCAATTCCACCAACTGCAATCTCCTCTCCATGAGGAGAGTCTCTGAAAATTCAGCGAAGGGTCAGCTGTGAGTCCGTTCTGACTCAGTGGTAATGAGTTCAGTTAATAGGGATCCCTCACTTAACTGCCTGGCTACCAACTGAAAGGCTGGTGCTTTAAATCTATCCAGAGGTACCTCAGAAGAAAGGGTTGGCAATCTACTTCAGAGAGAGCACAGCCCCTGAAAACACTATCCAGCTCACAGTCTCACTTCGTAACATGTGGGGTGGCCATGAGTCAGGATCAACTTAAGGGGCTTCCTTTTGATTTTCAAAATTAACTAGGACTCATTCCTTAAGTCTTAGCCTAGAGCAAACTTTTCCTGAGTCCCTCAGCTGGCTAATAACAATAATCATGATAATAAAAACAATAGCTAAGGGGGGAAAATAAAAACAATAGCTGATATTCACTATGTTACAAAGTGCAAGCATGATGTGAAGAGCTGTATAGTATCCACTCATTTCATCATCACACATAGCTACTATGACATTATAAAACAAGCACAGAGGTTAAATGTTTTGTTCAAGGTCACATGAGGGAGGAAACAGCAAAGCTGGATTACGGACCTGGTATGCATTTTCTCTGGCACCATGGACACTGTGTTGTCCTGTATCCCAGGTCCCGCAGAACCCTCCCTCAGCAGCATACGCACATATGTGTGTATACTGCTCCCCATCAGACCACACACTCCTTGAGGGCAGGAATCAGACCCATCTCGTTAACATCAGCACCTGGCCCAGCACGTGGCATTGCTGCTTTTTAAAGAGAATGTCATGCTCTGAGCGCCCCTGCTCCCAGGCCCCACAGCTCTGAGGTGGCCCATTCTGGAAGAAGAGCTAATTAAATCCTTTGTGTACGTCACAGAATGATGCTCCAGACACACATGAGAATCTGTGAAAAAAATCCTTCTAGTTCTACTTATCTCGCTGCTTATACCTCATCTGGAGCCTCACCAATGATGTAACTGACATTTTCCAAGTGGGACTGTTAGCATGGTCCTCGGCCACCAACAGTCACAGCCACGCAGCTATGCAGCTGGACGGTGAGGCAGCCAGAGCACCATCCAGGTTTCTGGAAGAGGCGGGAGAAAGCAGCTGGGCTCGGCTGGGCAAGGGTCTGGCTCCCCCTGCTGGTTCCCTTCAGAGTTCCTGACACCCTCTCCCAGGAACAGCCCAGGGACGCTCACCAGCCACGAGAAGAAGCCAGCCGACTTGTCCTGGGTGGAGATCTGCCCCTCGTAGGGACCAAAGATGTGGCCCTTGGGGATGACCTCGTTGATGCACCGCACGTCCTTCTCGCCATTGGCTTCCTTGACCACCTCCATGCCCTGCGGGATGGTGAGAGCTGCCCGGTCGGGGATGCCCATGGGCACAGGAGTGTCGGACACAAACACTGGGGGGCCGTGGTTCGGGCATTCGTCCACAAAGTACTCCTGGCAGGACTCACAGACTGAGGGGTGGAAAGAGGAAGAAAACCTCAGTTGTTGTGGGGAGGTGGGACACCCATGAAGAGGGCGGGGCTCAAGATGGATGGGAAGCCCAGGGCATGGCACTTAGAGGGATCCCAGCTCTGGCTTCATCCCAGCCGGCTGCATGCCACTGGACTGTCAACACCAATAACCCATTATCCTCCCTGGGGGGCTTGAAGGACACGCCTGTCAATTTCAAGGAAGCCAGTTGTTTTGTTGTGTGCTGTCAAGCTGGAAGTGATCCAAGAGTGTTCAGAGACAGAAGGAGACTGTCCCTCCTTGTCCACTGAGGCAGCTGGTGGATTCAAACCACGTGTCTTTGGGATTGCAGAGCAGCTTCTTACCACTAGGCCACCAGAGCTCCCTATGGAAGAGGGCAGCTCCCTTCATCTCAAGTTTATAAAGGCAGAAGAAAGCGTATGGCTTTGGAGTCTAACTGGTCTGGGTTTAAACTGTAACTATCTATCATTGTCCTAGTGGTATCTGCTGGGATGCTTAACTGAAAGATCACTGGTTCAGGGGGATCCACCAGCCATTCCTTGCAGAAAAGGTGGGCAAATTCACCAGTAAAGATTTGCAGTGTAAGAAACCCAATGATGAGTTTCCATGAATCAGAACCCACTTTATGGCAACGGGTTTGATTCTGTTAATGTTTTTGTTCTCTATGGGCTAAAGGATGTGGAGCAGGGTACTATAACCCTCACCAAGCTTCAGTCCCCTCATCTATAAAGTGGGGCCATTAATGGCTGTCTCAGTGGCTGCTGCTGAGAATCCACTGAGGTCCAGCTCCATGACTAGCACTGGTATTGTTTCTGCAAAGTCACTAACAGGGACATGGGGTGGGGACTGAGGGGCGGCCCGCAGCCCCAAGCTCCACTTACACCAGAAGTCTACTTGCTGGAAGTTTTTGGGCACGATGAGGTCACGCTTTCCCTTCGGTTTCTTGGGCTCAACGTCCATGGCAGATGGATCTGGTCTTCTAGAGCTGGCCAGGGCAGGGGCCAATAAAGACAGCAAAGAAGCCATCAGAGAGGGAGAATCCAGGGCCTGGCCTGGAGACCACGGGGACAAATGGCAAAGGCAGGTGCCTCAGAGCTGGGTCCAGGATGACATGCATCTCTCAAGAATCTGTGCTCATCTCAGACCCCAGGAGCTGCCTGCTGCAGGGTTAAGGAAGGTGGGCGAGAAGGGGAAGCTCACCCCAAGATTCCCCACCAATCCAGCCTGGTGGCATCCTTCTCCCACCCGTCCCCACATTGGGGCCTCACCAGGGCTGGCCATACTCCTGGTCGTGCAGTGGAGAGCAGACCTCTGTCTTCACCACCGTCACCATGTCCCCCACAGCAGCCTTGGTTTGCGCCAAGCATTCCTTCATATTCTCAGTCATTCTGTCCTGGGGACGCAGGAGGCGGACCAGCACAGGAAAAGGATCAAAGAGACAGGGGAAGTGGGGTGAGTGGTGGAGCAGGCCAGCTCGCAGGGGTCCCCTGGGGTCTGGTTACCCTCCCTGTCATCCCCAGAGGAAGTACTGAGAACACAGACAACAAAAACAGCTGTAGCCAGGCCAAAAGAAAAATGCCATTTCTACCCCGGGCTCATCCTGGGGAAGACTGGATCCACCAGCCCCATGGGGTCAGGGGCTGGGCCAGCTCAGGCCAGCAGCCAGGGCTGGGAAGCACAGTCTGGGCCCCAAGACCAGGGGAGCAAAGGGTACGAAGATCCCACATGAGCTGTCTGCAGGGCTCTGCAAAGGGCGGCAGGAAAGGGAGTGAAGTAAGGGACTTAAATCTAGGTGGGCCCAAAAAGTTTGTGCAGCTGCACTGAGCCCTTAGTGCTGGCAACGCCAGCCCGTATCCAGTGCGTGCAGCCAGGCCTGATTTACCTGCTCGGGGCAGGTACAGGTGAAGTCTAAAGGGGTGCGACTGTGGCCAGATGGGGGCTGGAGCCCTGACTCCCAGTCCCACCCTGCTCTCTCCAGGGGAATCTCCCTTGCCCTCTGCTTACCGCCCTCCACCACCGCATTCGGCTTCAGCCCCTCCCTTGTTGCCCCAGAGTCCTCATGCCAATCCCAGGGGCATTCGAGGGGCCTGGCCAGCACGCAGCTGGGGCTGGGAACGCGCTGGGCCCGGGACTGGGCGAGCAGCGTGTGAGTCACTACCCAGGGCTCTGCTGGCCACACCCCTGCTGCTCGGCTAATCAGCCCCCTGCTCCCCACCGGGGGCCCCAAGGCCTGCGCTGGGAGGGGTGTGTGGAAACAGGACGGCCTGCACCCTCCTCCGAGCCAGTGGGGACAGGGGGTGCCGGGGCTGGGGAGGGGGGACGTGCTGCACCGGCCGCCCCGCCTCCAGCCCCGCAGCCCACGGGTCATCCCGTGCGAGTGTCCAGTGGGGAAGTGTGAGATCCTGAGACCCGGCCGGGGTGTCGTGCAGGGGCGGCGCGGGCTCGCTCGCCTCACTCCGCGCTCCCACCGACCCACCCGCGGGGAGCTCCCTGCCCTACCCGGCCCTGCCCAGCGCCCGCCCCCCGCGCGCCAGGCCCGGCATTCCTTGCGGGGGCATGTGGCTTCTTGCCGGCCCCGGGGGCACGCAGTTGGCTGGCGGCCGGGAGGGGGACTCGCAGGGAGCACGAGGCAGCGGGCGCCCGGGAGGGGCGCACAGCGCCCCCTCCACACACACCCCGTCCTGCCTGGCCCGGGTGGTGGAGGAATTCCAGGCCCTCCCGCGGGCTCGGGCCACTGGAGTGGGGGGCCTTTAGGAGGGGTCCTCTGGTGTGGTCCTGGCCGCCCCGGGATCATCCAGGCAGGAAGAGATGGTGACGAGGGGACAGATTAGAGGGAGCGCGCACTGCCTACTGCGCGGCCCGCGGCCCGTGTGGCCCGTGGCACAAAGAGGACTGACACTCAACTAGCCTGGCTGAGGGCTACACCCCACGCCCTTCACCACCTGCACGGCCGGCCCGGGGTGCGGGCCAGGATCTTGGCAGCCTTCACAGAGGGCTCCCTGCTCTGAGCTCGCCAGGCCTCAGAGCTCCTGGGATGGAAGGTTTTCAAACCACCCATGAGAACGCAGGGTTTGGAGTTCACTGGAGCAGAAACGCAGGCTAGAAGATGTCAAGTGACTTACCCATTGTCACGCAGCCCATTCCTGAGGGCGTCAGGGCTGAAGCCTAGGGTGGCACTCCGGACTCCAAGACACTGAACCCTCAAACTCCAGGGGTCTGTTTCCCTTCCGAGCTACACCCCCAGCCCAGTGCTCCTCCAGAATGATCACCCAGTCACCCTGCAGTGGGTGGGTCAAGGCTTCGGCCCAGAAGTCCAGTTGCCCCCCCCCCCCCCCAGGGCAAAGCTCCAGTTTGTGAAGGTTCACTGAACAGCCTGTGCTGGAGGGGAGTTCTCACCTGGATGGGCTGTATCCTCACACAAACACAACTCCTAGCAGTTCAGTCCAGTGGTTAGGCGCCCAGGCAGTGGAGCAGCCCTGCCCGAGTTAGATGTAGCTGATCGGCTGTGTGACTCTGGAGCAGGTCATTAACTTCTCTGTGCTCCTACCTCTTTGCAATGTGGCTAACTGCAGATTCCGTGCCAGACACTACTCTATGAAATGGGCAGTGATGGATTTGGTGGGAGTCCTGGTGCATGGCTTAGTGGTAAGGAGTTGCGCTGCCAGCTCAAAGGTACTCAGTTCAACTCTACCAGCTGCTCTGAGGTAGAAGGATGGGCAATCTCCTCCCATGTGATTCACAGTCTCTGAATATGCGCTGGAGGGTCAGCTATGAGTCCTTTCTAACTGGATGGTGCCCAACAATGAGTGGTGTAACCTGAAGCAAGTTGCCCAGCTAACTAACCCAAGGGTGAGTGCTTCCCTGCTGGCTTGGATCCACCAGTGTGAGAAAGATGAACGATCTCTTCCTGTGTCATCTGCAGTATCAAAACCCATATGAATGGTCAGCCTTGAGTGGGAACCCCCAAAACGTCAGAGTTGGGTCTGAGGCATAGCCTGCACATATCACAAGGAGAACAGAATTGGGGAGGGGCTATGACTGAGAGGATTGAATTATCTTGCTTGGATTTCTTTATAAAGTCAATCAAACTCTACCACATCCTCTACCACATACTTGACAGAGTGTGGAAATTATTGAACAATATCACTGATAACCTGGAAGCAGGAGTGGCACCCACTTCCTAAACAAAATGCCTCTGGAGACTCTATGAACTTTGGTAAATGACAATAGTTATAGAGGGGCTTCAGGCCTTTTGTTTGTAGGGTTGCTATGAGTCATGCTCAACTCAACATCAGTCAACAACAACAATCATTAATATCACATGCTTGCAAAATTCTGCTGAAGATTATCCAGAAACGACTAGAACAGTCCATTGATAGAGAGCTACCAGAAACAGAAGCTGGATTTAGAAGAGGTTGTGGCAACTAGAGACATTATCACCAATGTCAGATGGATCTTGGCAGAAAGCAAGGTGTACCAGAAGAATGTCTGTGTTTCATTGACTACGCAAAGGCATTTGACACAACAAATTATGGCTGACCTTGAGGAAAATGGGAATCCCAGAACACTTGATCGTGCTTATGCAAAATCTATATCTGGACCAGGAAGCAGTCCTCAGACAGAGCAGGGAAACACCGCATGGTTCAAAATCAGGAAAGGGATGCATCCTGTCTCCATACCTTTTCAGTCTATATGCAGAGCAGATCATTAGGTAAGCTGGGCTGTTTGAGGAAGAATGTGGCTTCAGGATTGGAGCAAAATTCATCAACCTACATTACATAGATGACACAACCTTGTTTGCTGAAGAGGACTTGATGAAGCACTTGCTGCAGAAGGTCATAGACTATAGTCTTCAATATAGATTGAAGCTCAACATCAAGAAGACAAAGATTCTCACCACTGGGCCATTGGCAGCACCTTGATAGATGGCTCCACAATCAACACTCTTGGCACCAGCGGTCAGAAAGTCAAACTTACATGAGGAAAATCTGCTGTCAGGAATCTCTCCAGAGTATTGAAAAGCAATGATGTCACTCTAGAGACAAAGGTACGCCTAATTGAGGCCATGGTCTTTGCCCTTACTTGGATGCATCAGAGAGCTGGACAATGACTAAAGATGACAGGAAAAGAATGGATGCCTTCAAAGTTATGGTGCTAGAGAAGAGTCTTGAACATATGATGGACTGCAAAGAAAACAAATAGGCCTGTCTTGGAGAGGGTGAAAACACATCTCTACTTGGAGGCTAGGATTTTGAAGCTCCATTTCACATACTTTGGGTTTGTGGCCAGGAGGGACTGGTCCTTGAGAAGGACATCATGCTCAGAAGGGAGGAGGGACAGCACAGGAGAGGAAGACCCTGGATAAGATGGATTGATACAGTAACTGGGGCAACGGGTATCGAAATAAGTTAGACTGGCTCAGGGCAGGGCAGGCTTCAGAGCTGCTAGAGTCGCTATCAGTCACAGATGACTCAACAGCACATAACCACCACCACCACATCCTTGAAAACACTGCTTGTTAAGAGAATACGCCATCCCCTTTTCCTTATGAATCAGGGTGAAATCTCTCTCAGGGAGGAGTGATAGGGAATGACAAAGGACACACTGACAAAGGAGATTAATCAGAACTGGTTTTGACAAGCACTGTGGCAATGGGACAATTAAAACAAACTTTCAAGGAATATTCAACCTGAATTCTTCTGATCATATGGAGATTTTTGAAAGTATTTCTTTAAGTTTATAATGTTTAATTTTTGTATTTGTATTTGTATATAAAGGATGCTCATCTAGATGATAACATAATTATGATAAAAACAAAAGAGAGGAAATATGGGAAGCCAATACTAAATATTTGTAATAAACTGAGTGTTATTTAAATTTAATAAAAAGAAAAAGAAAAAAAACACTGCTTGTTACCATTTTTGCACCTAGTTAGCTCTCTCTCTGGCACCTCTGCCTTCAGCTGCCCCACCTGCCACAGGGCTTTGAACTTGGTGCATCCACTGCCTGCAGCACACCTGGCCCTCCTTGAGCCCTCACACTATTTCCCAATAGTGTCCTCTCCTTGTCTCATGTCCCTTTCCTTTGTGGCACCTGTCACATTAAACTTGTTTTTATTTGCATGATTATTTAAGGATGTTTGTATCCCATAATAGTTTAAGTCCCTGAAGCCAGAGTGCAGGCTCTTTTGCTCACCACTGATGGCCAGCATCTGTGACAGTGGCAGAAGGAGCTCTCGTGGTGTATAACATGTCAGGCTGCAAACTGTTAGGTTTGGTCTGAGTCCACCAAGCAATCTGTCAGAGAAAGTTAGGTAAACACAACCATTTGAGGCAGTGAGCTTGGTCTTTTTTGTGACACTGGCAACAGGGTCAAGATGAGGGCAGG